ATATTTATTCACCCAAACCATATTTGGTATCAATGTTATACCTAACAGGCTCTATATTAAACTCTGCAATTCTGTTAAGCTTTGAGTCTGTCTATTGAAGATGAAACTGCTTCTCTCCTCTGCTTGCCTGATGAACTAAAGTGAAACTGATGTCTATTTCTGAGTTCCTGAGTTGCTACTGAAGTTATTTGCAATATGTTTCTGTCTGAGTTTGCTCCATGTTGGAGAAAACTACAACTGGTTGTAAAATCTACTTATTATGTTTATAAAGATATTAAATGAAGCATCAGCCATCTTTGTTTATTTTTCTGGCTCTGAATTAATGCTGCAAAACTCTGAATAATTAGCCTGGACTGACAGAATATTAGTTCTATTTTTTCCTCTCACCTAGGCCCTCCAGGAGAAATGATGGTTGGCCAACAAGGCTCCAAAGGACCTCCAGGTAGCATTGGTCCCTCTGGATTTCCCGGGGCTCGTGGTCAGCCTGGGGATTCTGGTCCTGCAGGTAGATGTCTTCCTACAGGATGCCACAGAGATAGTACAAGAGGTAAATCTTGAGTGTATGTGACTCAAAGTAAGGGGAGGGTTCCAGAAGTTCATGAATTGTGGGTCAAGTCTTTATTCCTTCCCACTTCCCTTTTTTCTAGAGTTTTTTGGCTTTCGTGTCAGTCAATCTGGGCCAGGGATCTCTCTAAAGCCCTAGGTGTTAGGGCGCAAAGAATCGGGACCATTCATAAGATTGCAACACAGTAGATTTATTTCAGCCTATACACAAGAATCTGGTCAACTAAAGTTCAACACTAAATTGGCCCCAGATAAGGGTCAGCAGAATTCAGGAGGAGTTGGACTTTGAGCACTTGTGGCAATGTAGAAATTCTAAACTAATGATGTACTTAACTCCACCCTTCCCAACTCTGCCTGCTATTCTCCTACACAAGAACAGCTTAGAAGGCTGCAATTAAACTCGAAAGTGTGTGATTGGAAGCACCTTCTATTTTCAGAAGAGGTTCTCAGTTATTAAACAGCTGTTAGCCTTCCTAAGTAGGAAACATAATCAGATGAGCTGCTTTGTGATAAGGCTATATTAACAGAATCTTGCAAGTCTGAAAGTACAAATCTACCCCAATCTCTTTTACAGCCTGAGAATGAGGGGGAGCTCCCTTTGAGCCTCTTTCTCTGCCCATTTATGCCGTTGTGGGCTATTCCCTCTCTTATTTCACAGTTCCTTAGCGTCATGCCCCCATCTAAATCTGAGAGGGAAGATGAACAGCTGACAGAGAGTGGGAGAGTGGCTCCATTGGCGGTGGTGGAAACTGGGGAAGGGCAAAGTCAGGCTGGGCAAAGTAGGGGAGGGGTAGAACAGGGGAGAGGGGGTTCAGATGGAGACCAAGGCCCACCCCCTCCTCATCCTAGGGCATGTAGGGAAGAATGCAGAAGAGAGCAACGTGGTTTGCGTGGCTTACGAAGAAGGAAAGGGGCCTGATTCCCTTAGCAAGGCACACCCAGAGACAGAATTTAAAGGAGAGGCAGTTAGGAGGGGTGTGTTTGTCGGGAACAAACACTGAATTCATCTAGTGTTATGAGTTTTAGCCTGCATTCCTGGCATTCCTCCTGTCTATGTGAATTATTGCCGTGCTTCTGTGTGGACTCATTATCTTGCCCTGCTGGAGTGATTGAATGCAGTCACTCGGCCTACAGTGCTTGGACTGGAGTACCTGCAGCCAGAGGCTGTTATAGGTTCGTGGGAAAGCTTTTCTCCAGGCTGGAAAGTAGCCAGGACATTGCGGGCAAAGTTGGAGCAAATAAAGGGACTCATAGCTATTTTCTGGCTGTGTTGCCTTCGCGCCATGCCCCGGGTCATCACACTTAGGCAGCATCTCTCCACCCCCCAAATATCCCAAGGTTGTTCGTACATACCATTACATCAGTAAAACTCCAGCATATCAGCTATGTGGCCTATGGTGGCGCAGTGGTTAGAATGCAGTACTGCAGCTAATTCTGCTGACTGCCAGCTGCCTGCAATTTGGCAGTTCGAATCTCACCAGGCTCAAGGTTGGCTCAGCCTTCCATCCTTCCGAGGTCAGTAAAATGAGGACCCAGATTGTTGGGAGAAAGAGGCTGACTCCGTAAACCGCTTAGAGAGGGCTGTAAAAGCACTGTGAAGCGGTATATAAGTCTAAGTGCTATTGCTATATAAGAAAAAAGTTACAAATTAACCAAGGCCAAGAATTCTCTAGCACAGAAATTGGTACAAGTAGTCCTCAACTTACGAGCACAATTGAGTCCAAAATTTATGTTGCTAAATGAGAAATTTGTTCAGTGAGTTTTGCCCCATTTTACAACTTTTCTTGCCTCCGTTGTTAAGTGAATCCCTGAAGTTGTTAAATTAGTTGGCATGGTTGCTAAGTGAATCTGGCTTCCCTGTTGACTTTGCTTGTCAGAAGGTCACCAAAGGAGATCACGTGATCCCAGGACACTGCGCCTGTCATAAGTATGAGTCAGTTGCCAAGCATCTGAATGTAAATCACCTGACCCTGGGGATGCTGCAATGGCCATAAAGTGTGAAAAATAGTCCTGCGTCACTTCCTCCAGTGTAATTGTAACTTCAAACGGTCACTAAGCGAACTGTTGTAAATCGAGAACTACCTCTATTTCACAGAACTAGAGGCAAACGAGAGAATTTAATCCTAGCAATTGTTCTGTGCAGGCTAGAGAGGGCCAGGTTTTATCTTGGCAACCGCATCCATATTCCTAAGACATATCAGAGCTCAAAAGCCTTAAAGGGTAAAGGGGAAGCAACTTGTAGGCAAGGAATCTTATAATATCTGCCTCCGATTCTGCGGGATAATTGCCATTTGATTGCAAAACTAAACCCTTATTTCAAAAGCCAGATTTGCACTCCGATTCTCTAACAACTCTAGCAACTAAGATGATTAAAGGCCTGGAGGCTAAAACTTATGAAGAACGGTTGCAGGAATTGGGTTGGCTAGTTTAGAAAAAAGAAGGAGTAAGGGTGACATGATAGCAATATTCCAATATTTGAAGGGCTGCCACAAAGAGGAGTGGGGTCAAATTATTCTCCAAAGCACCTGAAGGCAGGACAAGAAATAATGGCTGGAAACTAAACAAGGAGAGAAGCGACCTGGAATTGTGGAGAAACTTCCAAACAGTGAGGACAATTAACCGGTGGAACAGAAGTTGCCTTTGAAAGTTTTGTGGGTGCTCCTTTAAGAAAAGACTGGACAGTCGCTTGTCTGAAATGACATAGGATCTTCTGCTTGCGCAGGGGCTGGACTAGAAGACCTTTGAGGTCCCTTCCAGCTCTATTCTGATTCTCTTCTGTCACTCCCAATAGAGTAATCAGAGGGTGTTAAGAAGCAGGGACATAAAAACCATTTCTATTATTAGCATACATGGTGACACCACAATTCACTTTTAAGAGTGTTTTTATTGGAGCTACACACTTTTATTACATTTAGAATTTGAGGAAGGAGTGATTCATCTCTCTGTTTTTCCCATTTCTTCTGTAGTTTAAATAACACTCATTTCCTGTTTCCAGATGCAGGGCTGATCCCATGACCAGAGGGACGCTGCTGTGGATCAATTTTATGTTTTCAATACTTTTTTTTTTATTACTGCCACACCCAAAGTTTCATTTTCTCTTTTGTAAACGGCCCAATTTTGTCTGCCAGGAAATGCACGCCACTTCGTCTTGTGATTTATGGCCTACTAGTAATTCACTGGTCATACTTTCTACTGGATAGTTAAAGCTATATTTTCAGTTTAATGGGGTCCTCAGTGCCCTCCTGAGCTTGACTGTTCTTGCAGACATTTTGTTACCCAGCTAGGCAATCTCATCAGTGCTAGAAGGGAGTGAGGTTTGCTCGCTGTTTATGTACATGGGGGTTTAATCGAGCCAGCCAAACCACGAGTTGCAGCCCCAGTCCTGTTCAAAGAGAAAAAAGATGGGACTTTGAGATTATGCGTCGACTTTAGAAGCATCAATGGCATGTGTGTACACAACCTATATCCACCTCCCGCTCATGAAGGACATGCTATCTCACCTGGCCAAGGGGAAAGGTCTTTATTAAATTAGACCTCAGGGAGGCAAACTACCGAGTCCACATCAGGGAGGCGGATGAATGGAAAACGGCATTCAACTGCTCCTTAGGGAGCTTCCAATTCAAAGTCATGCCTTTTGGACTACAGGGAGCCCCGGCGGTGTCTATGCAATTAATAAACGAGATGCTACGTGAACATCTTTATAAGGGGGTCCTTGTCTATTTGGACGAAATTCTCATCTACACTGAGATGATGGACAACCACGTACCCCTAGTGCGCCAAGTACTGAAAAAACTTCTAGCAGCAAACCTGTACGTTAAGCAGTCGAAATGCGAATTTCACCGCATGCAGTTGGACTACCTGGGCTACCGAGTCTCCAATAAAGGCATAGAGATGGACCCAGCCAAAGTACAAGCCATCCTCGGTTGGCAAGTCCCTCACACTTGCAGACAGCTACAAAGCTTCCTGGGGTTTGCAAACTTCTACTGACCATTCATCCCCTCCTAAAGATAGGGACTACAGAAACAAATACTGGCCTGTCAGTGTTGGTGGTAGTGTTCTTGGTGGCTCCTTGATCAGGCTC